AATGCTTTTTCTAAGTTACGCAAGAGAATACAGAATGAAAAAGGGTATACAATCACAAGCATAAGGAGTGATAGGGGAGGGGAATTCAGAAATGCTGAATTTGAAGCTTACTGTGATGATCATGGTATAGATCACAACTTGTCAGCCCCTAGGACTCCTCAGCAAAATGGTGTAGCTGAAAGAAAGAATAGAACCCTTCAAGAAATGACACGCACCATGCTGAATGAACACAATCTGCCTAAATATTTTTGGGGAGAAGCCATCCATACAGCTTGCTATATGCCTAATAGAGTACTACTACGTCCCATTCTAAAGAAGACCACCTATGAGCTGTGGCATGGCAGAGCACAAAACATTTCATACTGTAAGGAATAAATGTATTTAGATTTTGATGATGCTAGGTTATTTAGAATTTGAAAGTACCCCGTTAGAAATTTTGTATCAGAATTTCTTTTGTAAGTTTTAGCTTAGTCTGTCTGCCAGAGAACCACCTTGCTTATACCAGAGTTGCTCCCAGAGTTGCTCACCAGAGAAGCCATCAGAAACTGGTCATCTGTGTTGATACCAGAGTTGGCAACAGAGGCGGACTTCAAAGATTGAACCAGAGAGCCTTTTGAGACTCTGTCAAACACACCAGATTCCGAAAGCACTTTCCAACGGTCGTTAAACTAACGGGAAATCCCCTAACGGTTACGAACCTTTCAACGGAAACATGGTACTGTACACGCATTAAATGCACATTTAATGCTGTACATACGAAGAGATATTTAAAGCTGATGATTGACCATGCAGGTATCTTCACGCCCCCAAAATAGCAAGTCGAAGGTCCAACCGGTCAAGTCAACAGTACAAGCATTTAATGAAGCTGTCTTCTACACTCCAACGGGAAGACTACTCCCAGTATATAAGATACTCTCTGAAGAACTAAGAGAACAACTTTGCTACAACATCTGCCAAACGAACTTGCTCAAAGCCTTCTTGAGATTCAAACTTCATTCTTAACAAGAAAAGGCTACAGTTGGAAGATACATTTTCTAATCCCTCATCCAACTAGCAAGTTGCAAAGTTCCTCAGTTCTTCAACACTTCGAAAACTTCATCTACTCATCCTTTGTAAAGAAGCCACGTTGGAGAAAACTGATTTTGAATCAAACACTTCTTGAAAAAGAAGGGACGTCTCAAACTAGCTGGAGTAAGTGAAGTGGGGATACTTCAAGAGACTCAGTGAAACGAGACCAGCCATCAGGAAGCAGGACTGCATCCCGGGTGGAAACTAGACTTGAAGAAGACGAGGAGTGCTTCTTAAGTTCTAGGGACTAAGGCGTTGTAAACTGTTGTTTTTGCAAGCTTAGTGGAACAGTGGACTAGAGGAACAAGTTGTTCCTTGAACCACTATAAAAACCTCGGTGTCATTTACTTTAAGCTTTTAATTCCCGCACTTAAGATTCTACTGATTAACTCTTAAGGTTGGACTCTGTGTCCAGCAGATCTTCTTTCAGAGTGATCAGAAAGGCACTTTGCCTTAGCATTTTTCTTAAGGCTACCCGAATAGAAACTTATCCGCTGCCTGGTCTAGTTCTGCCATCAGAACCTGACCATCTCTGTCACCAGATTTCGACCATCTCTGATAAGTCAGTTTTGACTTAGAGAAAAGTTTAAATTCCTGAACAGTCTATTCACCCCCCCCCCCCCCCTCTAGATTGTTCCTATTACAAACGGGACCAACACATACTTCAAAGTATTTGGATGCAAATACTATATTCTGAACACTAAGGATCAGTTAAGTAAGTTTGATGCTAAATCCAGTGAAGGTATTTTTCTTGGTTATTCCTCGGTTAGTAAAGCTTATAGAGTCTTTAATAAATCAACTAGATGTGTAGAAGAGTCTATACATGTTGAATTTGATGAGACTAACCCATTTGGGCCGAGAAAGGAACCTATCTTTTCAGATGATGAAGCTGAAGAACAAAGCGCTTTGTTTGACACCGAACATGCTGCTCAAGAAGAGCCGCCTGCTGCTCAAGTTCAGCCGCCTGCTGAGCAAACCAGCCAACTGCCAGCTGCCTACAAAGGTTTGAAGGACCATCCAACTGAGAACATTATTGGAGACATTTCTAAAGGCGTAAGGACTAGAGGTAACATTAACCTTTGTGCATACTATGCATTTTTTAGTCAATTTGAGCCCAAACATATAGAGGAAGCCTTAAGCGATGATGAATGGATAATTTCCATGCAAAAGAAGTTAGACCAGTTTGAACGTAATGACGTTTGTGAATTGGTTGAAAGACCAAATAACCATCCAGTTATTGGTACAAAGTGGGTCTTTAGAAATAAGTTGGATGAAGGAGGTGAGATTATCACCAACAAAAGCCGACTTGTTGTTAAAGGGTATAATCAAGTAGAGGGACTTGATTATGAGGAAACCTTTGCTCCTGTTGCTAGGTTAGAATCCATTAGGATGCTTCTTTCTTATGCTAGTTACATGGATTTTAAACTTTTTCAAATGGACGTTAAAAGTGCATTTTTGAATGGAATCCTTAAGGAGGAAGCTTACGTGGAGCAGCCTCCCGGTTTTGAACATGTAACCTTTCCAAACCATGTATACAAGCTTAAGAAGGCTCTCTATGGTTTAAAACAGGCCCCACGTGCTTGGTATGAAAGGCTTTCAAAATATCTTCTTGAAAATGGTTTTTCAAAAGGGGCTATTGACTCAACATTGTTTGTACGAACTTTGGCTAATGATATTATGTTAGTTCAAATTTATGTTGATGATATTATATTTGGCTCTACTAATCAATCTATGTGTGAAGAATTTTCTAAAGTCATGACCAGTGAGTTTGAAATGAGCATGATGGGTGAACTCACATTCTTCCTTGGACTTCAAATCAAACAAATGAAAGAAGGAACCTTTGTAAGTCAGTCCAAATATGCTAAGGAGTTGGTTAAAAAGTTCAATCTACAAGAAGGTAGACATTTTGATACTCCAATGAACTCAACTGCCAAGATTGACAAGAATGAGAATGGAAAACCCACTGATGAAAAGGTCTATAGAGGTATGATTGGTAGTTTATTGTATTTAACTGCTTCTAGACCTGATATTATGCATGTTGTTTGTGTTTGTGCTCGCTATCAATCTTGCCCAAAGGAATCTCATCTTGTGGTCGTTAAACGTATCATTAGATATGTTAACACTAGTACAAAATAAGCATTCTATAACTAACATTTAATGTGGGTTGGTTTAGAACCGTCATAGTATGATCACGCGGGGTCTAAATCATAATTAATAAAAGTTTCATCTCATAGGACGGGATAAATTTATAAAATAAAAAATTGTATCAATAACGGTTATTGATCTAACCCGTTATAGAAAGTATAAATGGATCCATATTCATAAATATCAAAAAGTTTGAACTGGCATGGGGTCATTTTCTTAATTAAAAAAACATACTTTCAATGTTCGTTTACTTGTGACCCATATGGAATGTGTTTAAAAATTTTAACCTGCGGCCAGCCTACGGATGAAACAGAAGGGTTTTGAAACCAGCCGCATACTTACGAAATTATAAGCAGCTCCGCCATTTTTGAAACCAGCGACAGAGCCTACGGATGAAAACGCTCCGCCATATCCACACCTCCGCCAACTTCACACCTCCTCCGTTTTCACACCACCGCCGTTTTCGCACCTCCGACGCTCCTCCTTTCAACCTTTCATCTCGTTCGCCAGAGACCATTTTCCAATGGGTAATTTTCTTACAGACTAAATATGTATTTGGTTTTTCTTTTCATAATTGATTCATGTATATATTTATTTGATTTATGCTTAATTTCGTATGCGGGTTTATTCATTATACAGACTATAATCCTTATAATACTGGAGAATACACTCGATGTTTTCTTCCCATTTTTTCTTATATTCAGACTTAGGTCTATCCCAGGCATTCAGGTATTCTCTTAGCTTTGATAGTGGAATGACACGGTTTAAATGAAAATGAATGTGTCTATTTTGATACTCATGTAAAGAAGAAAGAAATATTCGTAGATATCTTCTATCAAATCATAGTTGAAGTCGGGAATCATCATATTCGTTACAGAAGCAAGTTCTTTACTAAAAATATAATAAGACATTATTTGATATGCACTTGCAGAGGCATCTTGTGTAATAGGAACAGATAGATACATTTTGTCTAGTTTCTTTTGATCTCCATTGCTGTACTCGTAAAGTACAATGTTAGGCAAAAATTGAAAGGGTTTTTTAAAACAATCCTTCAATCCTATTTTCAACAAATTTTGTATGATTTGTTGGTCTATAGTATGAGGACTATCTAGTGGTAAGGTATTATCCAGTAGATTGATGAAATTGAGAGCATCCTTATTCTTCTTGAATGATTTGAAATGGAAGCTAGTAGCTGTCAAAAACCTATCCTTGAGATCGTTATAATCATTAATGCCATGCCTAATCACCGTATTAGGTAGAATGAAAAAAATGCTTCATTTCGTTTTGATTTATGAAGAAGCTGGAAGATTTTTAGGTTTATGTTTTTAGTTGTCTAATGCCTGATACCTATTTGTTAAAATGTCTCAATGAAAAACCAAGGACTGAGAGGTACAACTTTTTATGGGAAACCAAATATTGAAAAATGATAAAGGAAAAATGATCAACTGGTAGAGAGGTACAACTTTTTTTTTCTCTTTCAATGATAAAGGACTGATAGAGAAAAATGAAGTCAGGTTCGTAGCGTTTTAGATAGATGTTGCAGATGGCAAATATCGATAGAGGTACAACTAATGATAAAGGGCTGAAATACGAACCCTACAATGGCAGATGTTGCAGCTAGCTCAAGATACTGATAGATGTTTTTATAACTAATGATCTATTGAATAACAATAGTAGATGTGATAAAATCCCAATTCCAAGGGACTCTTCAAAATTTCAACTTCGAAGTTGCAATTTATCACTCCTTAATTCCTTATACCCTGTCAATCAGTATATATTTGCTAATCCAGAGACAGTAAACGAGAAATGGCCAATGCCACCAGAGGCATAGAGAAGGAAATTTCTGCTTTGCAATTGGAGGAAAAGAAGCTTGTTGCTGAGATCAAGAGAACTGCTAAATCTGGAAATGAGGCTGCAACTAAGATACTAGCACGCCAGCTAATCAGGCTAAGACAGCAAATTGCAAACCTACAAGGTAGCCGAGCTCATATGAGAGGCATAGCAACTCACACACAAGCAATACATGCCCAAACTTCAGTTGCTGCAGGCATGAAGGGTGCCACTAAAGCTATGAGAGCCATGAATAAGCAAATGGCACCAGCAAAACAGGCAAAGGTGATTCAAGATTTCCAAAAATAATCAGCTCACATGGACATGATTACACAGATGATGGCAGACGCCATAGATGATGCTTTGGACAATGATGAAGATGAAGACGAAACATAAGAGTTGACGAACCAGGTCCTTGATGAAATCGGTGTTGATATTGCTTCACAGTTATCAGCAGCTCCAAAAGGAAAAATTGCTGGGAAAAAGATTGAGGAGAGCAGTAGCTCGGGAATTGATGAACTGGAGAAGAGGTTGGCTGCCCTTAGAAATCCTTAGGTTCGATACATCATTTTCGTACTATTTCTTAGTATAAGCTTCTTGGTAGAATTATTTGTACATGCCCCCCCCCCCCCCCCCCCCCCGCATAACTATCATCCGAGACACAGCCACACAGGAACTTGGTTGAGGAGCCTCAGATGAGTAGTGGTTTGGTTCTTTAAAAAAAATTGAATAACAATAGTTCATTTTGTCTAGTAATGCATCTTTTTCTGGCTTCTGCTTAATGTTTCATTTTTCATTATCTCATCTATTGAATATTATTCAATTGGTTATAAATGATTTTTTAAAACAAGTTTTGCAACTATACTAAAATAAAAATACTTGAGTGGTCATTCCACCGCATTTGTGGCTATTTTAGTCCCTCATTGTCTGCCCTTTAACAATTTCCAGCAGCCACGTAATGGGGGGCAAGCGGGTGCTGGTCCCCGTTGTCCGGTGTTTATGGTGTATATATAGCCGGGGCTTGAGACTTGGGACTCTTTAAGGATTGTTATATAATTATAAACCACAGAAGAGATGGTAGAGCTGCTATTCAGTATATACCAGCTATGCAGGTTCTGCTGCAATTGGTATTTAAATTTCCGCAGCTGGCCTAATATACTACTCCATATAATAATGATGTTAAGGGTAGCAGTTTCTTAAGATGAAATATATATTGTTGAAATATCTATGTTTTCCTATCATATAAGTAAACCCTTAAAAAACAAACAAACCATAAGCAACTTTTTTAGCATCTTCTAACTATATGGATTCGTGTACTGATACTCGAACATGATCCCGAACTTAGCGGAATATTTACTGGGAGTTTCACATATATGCTCACGGTTGATGGGCTAAAGGTGTGTGCGAGAGTATATTTGTGCTAAAGTTTGATGTGTGAGAGTCGTATATGAATGTAAAGATATTTGAAAAGCAGGGTATTAGCTTGGATAAGGAATTTCAGATTATTGGATGCTTGCAAGTTGCCTAGTTTTTATAAGCTAATTAATAAACTATAGATCAAAATTTTCCGGTATATTTCTTTTATTATACTATATGAGCTAGATAGCCAGCGGTGGACCTAGGCATTCGAGGTTAGTGTGTGCACACTTGAAGAGGAGCACTTAGCTAGTGGCCGGATTACCCTAAGGCGTGAGTAATTTATTTTATGTTTGCTATGAAACTGTTGCACCGGTCAACACATATCAGTGTTGTAGCAATTAACTAAAAGAAGTTGGTTTCAACTTCAAATTAATATCTCTATTTTCTGTTGATGACTTCAGGCTCCCCTCTTGGGTGGATGGAATGTACTTCACTGCTTATCAAGTCTCCCGCCATGACTGACTATCCTTGGAGTCGTACATGGGAAACATTAGAAATGGCAGAGAGGATCTTGTAAGTCTCTCCCGATTCAGTTTTAGAGTTGTTTGGAATGATTTTGTACTTTTTATCTTGGCCTAAAATATACTAATGCAAAAAATAAATTAATCAAAATGTTTGGCCTAAAATGTTTTGAATATAACATGCACATATTCACACACAGTTCTATGGGCAGTGCAACACTAATGCAAAAAGTCAATAAATTAATCAAAAAAGTTAGCCATATGTAATGAGTAGTGAATTGAGTAACGTAAACATAACGAGTAATAGTAGATTAGTAGTGAATACATGTTAAAATATATCATTTCTCTTTGCAGGTGCAATTACCTCTTCATGTGTATATGAGTGATTAATTGGGTCATACTCGTTAAAATACATTGACTAGATTATACCGGCTGTGTAGTAAATACCAATTTTGTATATTGTTATTTATATTGACTAGATTCGGGAAAAAGTGTGTGATTACATTAAATTGAGTAACTTTTTTTTATGCTACAGTGTAATATTTACATGTACATCTATTTGCAGTCTAGAATGCAAAGGGGTATTATGTTATGAGGCATATGAAGACTATAATATCTGCAGTTGTTGTTGATTCATGGATTGAGGTGATGAATTTTTAGATTTGTGCTTCATTAAATTTATACTTATTACTCTTGTATTATATTTTTTATGACAAAGTTTTACTTCTATTTTCATATTCATATTTTATTGAATGTGTTTCTATTTTTATTTTTGATTTGCAGACATTCAATGTTCAAGAGTCATTTAGTCCACGATACGTTACCGAGACAAGAGAGCATTGAGCGTCATTTGTTTGTAACACCACAAGCAATATGGGTTGTTATTAACAAATATGGTTTGGTTTTTATGTCTAGAATGAATAGTGTTGGTTTCATGTGAAACTTTGTACTTTTGACTTGCAAGAACTTGTGAAACTTTTGTAGTTTTTGCTTGGATGAACTTGTGAAACTTTGTAGTATTGGATTGGATTGATTGGTGCTAGTACTATGTGGAATACTATATTTTGCTACAATTATCAATATATTTGCCATAATTATAATTTAATGATTTCATTATGTTGATACAGTATATAAAAAACAATTATATTATGCATAATCAATCTGATATATGGTTTACTTTCTAAAAACATTCAATAACGGTTGGTGGTTTAACCCATATAAAAAGGATTTTATATGGGGTATTACTAGATTGACACGAAAAACATTCAATAACGGTTAAATTCGAACCGTTATAAAAAACATTCTATAAGGGGTGCGACTACCCGACACGAAAAAAGTCTGACTTTCTATATCGCTGGCTACTATGTCGTTACGGGAACCGACATAGAAAGTGCTTTTTAACCCATATAGAAAGTGTTTTCTACACTAGTGTAAAAGCACAACCAACCTAGGACTATGGTATCCAAAGGGATCCAATTTTTCCTTAGTTGGGTATAGTGATGCTGATGATGCTGGGTGTACAGTTGATAGGAAAAGTACCAGTGGTAGTTGTCAATTTCTTGGTCATTCTTTAGTGTCGTGGTCATCTAAGAAGCAAAACTCAGTTGCCATATCTACTGCTGAAGCAGAATACGTTGCCTTAGGCAGCTGTGTTGCTCAAATTTTATGGATGATTCAAACATTAAAAGACTACAATTTGAATTTTACTAATGTGCCTCTGTTTTGTGATAATACGAGTGCTATTAATATTTCCAAAAATCATGTTTTGCACTCAAGGACCAAACATATTGAGATCCGTCATCACTTTATTCGTGATCATGTGCAAAAAGGAGACATTTGTGTTGATTTTGTGGACAATAAACACCAACTAGCGGATATATTCACTAAACCGCTAGATTATGCATGTTTTAGCTTTTTAAGACGTGAATTGGTAATGCTTGAAATTAATTAAAGTAATTCCTTTCACTATCAATCATAAATTGGGAATTGTGTGCCTTGATATGTTATTGGTTAAGTATGGAAAACACTAGTCCTCAAGGCAAAAGGCTCCAGGAAAGTGATCCAGATGTACTAAAAAAGAAACCGCAGACAACTGCTCCAACTAGTAGACCACTGCTACCAAGCCGATGACTGAAATTGGTTCAAAGTTGATTCCAATTTGTATCAGACAAATGACTGAAGCATCGAGAAAGGAATGAGGTTATGAAGATCAAGATTTGGACGAACAATAGTGTTCTCTATACTTAATCATTTATTAACATGATCATAACACAAACTCCTACATTCTGTTAAACTTCTCCTACATGCTCTTCTTTATTTGGCATAATTGTTATTTTTTCAAGTGGTATTTTCTATCCTCTATGTGCATTTCCTTGTCTATTTTCTCAATGACCCTCCATTTTTTATATTTACAAAGGGGGAGAAATATGTTGACTTCAAGTAAGTCTCATACTGATAAAAAAAAGTCCCTAACCTAAGTCAATCAAAAAGAGGAAAGGGATTCTCTTTGTATGGGGGAGAGTGTTTATATTTTTGGTATCAAGAGAGTTGCATGAAGTGAGGGGGAGCTTGTCGTTACATTTGAAATCTTCCCGTGTGCTCCTAATTGTTTTTATACCCCCTTAAAGTCATTATTTGTCAACATCAAAAAGGGGGAGATTGTTAGCCGACTTGTGCTACCTTTAGTTTTTTATGTTTACAAATAATGAAGCTAACATGTGTGTTGAGATGCTGCAGGTTTACTCATTCAAGTCAATCCACTAGAAATAGTCTTTCTTGATAGCTAGAAAAGTCGTTTCATCAAGAATGTGTGGATTGCATATTAATAATAATAATAATAATATTAATATTATTATTATTATTATTATTATTATTATTATTATTATTATTATTAATAATAATAATAATAATAATAACAATAATAATAATAATAATAATAATAATAATAATAATAATAATAATAATAATAATAATAATAATAATAATAAGAACAATAACAATAACAATAACAATAATAATAATAATAACAATAATAATAACAATAATAATAACAATAATAATAATAATAATAATAATAATAATAATAATAATAATCAGAATAATAATAAGAATAACAATAACAATAACAATAACAATAATAATAATAATAACAATAATAATAACAATAATAATAACAATAATAATAACAATAATAATAATAATAATAATAATAATAATAATAATAATAATAATAATAATAATAATAATAATAATAATAATAATAATAATAATAATAATAATAATAATAATAATAATAATAATAATAATAATAATAATAATAATAATAATAATAATAATAATAATAATAATAATAATAATAATAATAATAATAATAATAATAATAATAATAATAATAATAATAATAATAATAATAATAATAATAATAATAATAATAATAATAATGATAATAATAATAATAATAATAATAATAATAAGAATAATAATAATAATAATAGTAATAATAATAGTACCAAAAATAGTAATACACTGTATTTACGCTAAAAGTGCTCTATTTTCGCTGAAAACGCTAAATCACAGAGATTGCTGTGTGTTTATCCGTTTGGAGCGTATTATATCTCGTTGGAAAGATAGATCGGAGTTCTAAAGCTATTGTTCCAACTTCATTTACAATGCATTAATTAAAAGTTACAGATTAACCATATGTTCACAAATGTTTCTGATTTCACTCTGAACTCGTGTAGAATTTGA